GGGAATCCTCTTCAAACCTTTCGATTGGTCACTATGGTTAATTCTTGGTGGGATTTTTGTGGGCGCAACAATTATCATAATTATGTTAGAAAGAAACAAAACCAACGAAAAAGACAAAACCAATGAAGAAGACAAAACCAAAGAATTTCGCTCCAACCCTTTCCTTGTTTACAAGATGGGTGAGTTCTCTTACGTGGCATATATACTATGCTTATATGTTATTATGTTTCAATTTGTGTCTCGTACGTACTCTATCATACAGTACACTTGATATCAATGTTCTATGTACGATGATGTATTACAGATGCGATGGAGTTTAAAAGCAAATCTGCAGGATGGATGGTGATACTGACGTCACTCCTATTCATCTTAGTAGTGCAAGTTTACACGGCGAATTTGACTTCAATTTTAACACAAGGAGAGAAGAAAAAGCCTGAATTTAAGGACGAAAATGAGGTTAAAAGTAGCAATGTGTTTGTGGGACATCGAAATGGGTCGTGGGTGAAAGGGCTTCTAATTAACCAAATGGGATTCGACCCGTCTCGATTAAAGCCTCTAGCAACTCGTGAAGAGTACAATTTATCATTGTCAAATGGAATAGTGGGAGCTATTTTTGATGAAACTCCCTATCTCACGCTCTTTCTCTCCAGATATAGATCTGGCTTCATGATGGCAGGACCAATCCATAAAACTGGTGGACTTGCATTTGTAAGTTTACTCCTTCTTACTCTGCCGGTCTTAATTATAAGGCAAAGTTAACTTAACTAGCTTCACGTTCACAGGGAGTGTGGCAAATTAGAGTTAACTATATATATATATATATATATATATATATATATATTGTATTTCTCAGGCATTCCCAAAGAAATCTAGCCTGGCCTTGCATTTCTCGAATGCAATCTTAAAGGTGACTCAAGATGCGGAGCCATATCGTGTGCTGATGGCCAGGAGCTCCTTACCCACCTCCATTGAAGATCTCATTTTTGAAGACCAAAGTGATACTGAGACGACAAGTTTGAAAATAGATAACTTTGGCGGCCTTTACCCGTCCTAATATCTGTAGTAGCTCTCTTCTTAGGCGTTGCCATTCTGAATCCATCGGTAATTCAATGCTTGCGTACATCATCAGTGATTGAACAGTTGCGTAACAGGAAGCAGGATCCCAAGTTAGCTAATAAGGCTTAAGTATACATTGGAGAATTCCTAGGTAGTAGCCGCTTATTAAACAACATGTGATATGTGTGTATCCATAAAGCTTGCTCCTTCCTACCCTATCTACTTTCCTGTAATGAACACCCCCTTTTGTTCTTATTATAAGGTATCTTCTAGAAACTATTCTTGGTCTTTTTTTTAATAAGCCATTAGTTAATTTTATAGAGTATTAAATACTTTTTTTTAACATATATGCCCATATCTAATAATTAAGGGTAATGAGAGAGAAGAAATTAATATGATATTGGAGTTCCATATAGTTAATAAGTATAATATTAAAAATCATTTGAATGTTATGACAAATTTAATGTTTTTAGGTATTTTTATTAATTATTAATATGTTTTCCTCTGGTCCTATTTATAGGGGAGAAAAAAAAGACATTTTTTCGTTTTATTTATAAAGTATTGAAAGAATTTTTTTGTATGAATGTACAATTTTACCCTTCATTCATTATTGTGTTGACTTTGTTTACATAAGATATAATGTATATTAAATAAGAATAAAGTTGAAAAGTTGTTGAATTTTAAATAAGAGTTAATAAAGTTTAATATTTTCTTCAGTTTGTATGAAATATATTAGAAGTGATTTATAAATAGGATCAGAGGGTATGAATTAATTAGAAGTGATTTATATTTGAGATTAGAGATAGTAATTTGTGCTTTTATTTTTTTAAGTTTTTTTTATGGCCAGCCATAAACAAGTATTAACTACCAATCACAAAACAAACATCATTTTTCTAGGGGAGGGGCACATACATTGGAAATCATGAAGTTTAATTTAAGACCAATTAGAGATTGAAAGAGCCAATTTATGATAGAATTTGATAAAACATGTTTCGTCCATGTTAAAGGTAAAAATCACACTTAATCACGAGCAAGAGTAAGATAGCAAGAGTAAGATATCATGGAGAAGAAGAGAAAGTTTGGTGAAAGAAGAAATATTTTTATGCCGACATAATTAAGCAACTCAAACATGTTGTAATTGAAATATAGGGAGAATTTCATTCAAGTCCCATCATCATCGATCAGAATTTATTCTCCAATTAGGCCCAAAACAATATGAGATTTTATTTCAATCTCTTTAGCTTAAAATGAAATTAAGTGAAAAATGACTGAACATTCTAATGAACTCATGGGTAAGTTTACAAGTCAAAACACACATTCTAACAACAAAAAATAGTTAAATAACAATTGCACATATGAAAATTTACAACTTTCAACAATAGCAAGATATGAACATGAAAAATTTGCAAGTGATTATAAGTAAATTTAAAAATTTGAAATATGCATTTTAACAACAAAAAACGTTTAATAACAATAGAGCATATGAAAATTTATAAACCTTTATTTTTTGTTGTGATAATTGTGAACATAAAAAGCTGGCAAGTGCTAGATAAATTTACAAGTCAAAATATGTATTTTAACCACAGAAAGTAGCTAAATAACGATTACACATGTAAACATTTATAACTCTCGATTTTGATAATAACAAGTTACGAACATGAAAAAATCACACACTTGAACAGTTGTGTGTGTGGATATGGGTATGAAAGGAATGTGTTATTTTACAAGGGGTGTATCATGAAAATTGGTAGTTGTAAATTTTTATACGTGCCTTTGTTATTTAGCTATTTTTTCTGGTTAAAATGCATATTTTAACTTACAAACTTGTTTATGAGCACTTATAAATTTTCATGCTCGTAACTTGTTGTTATAAAAATTAAAAATTAAAACTTTTTATATTTATAATTGTTTTTTAGCTATTTTTTGTCGTTAAAATACTTATTTTGACTCGTAAAGTTTTCATGTTACACATCTTGTGATAATAAAAATTGAGAGTCGTACATCTTCATATATAAATATATACTATCTATCATTTTTTCTTAAAAAAATATGTATTCCCCCTTGCGTACCTACCCATGAGCTTTTATGAATTTTTCATGTTCACATCTTACTATTATGAAAATTGAGAGTTGTAAATTTGTACACATATAGTTGTTATTTAGCTATATTTTGTTGTTAAAATGCATATTTTGACTTGCAAAATACCTATGAAGTTGTTAAAATTTTTAGAGGCAAGATGGTCATTGTAATTTTATTTTCGGTTCAAGAGCCTGAAATGAAATTTGAAAATATCTTTGGCCTGCTTAGAAATTAAGCTTAGACTGTGGAACTTATATGACATTCTCCCTTGAATATTGCAACATGTTGGAAAATTCCAGAGAGGCATATTACGCCACCTTTTTTTTTTTTTTTTGCCAAAGGCATATTACGCCACTTAACAATGCACATATACTCTTCTAGTTCTATTTATAAATTAGAGAGAAAAAATATTTTTTGATCCTATTTATGGAGTACTGAGAAATTTTTTTTGTATAAATATACAATTTTACCCTTTATTTATTATTGTGTTGACTTTATTTAAATAAGATATAATATATATTAAATAGAAATAAAATTAAAAATTTATTAAATTTTAAATCATAATTTATGAAATTTAAAATTTTTCTTGATATATATAAAATATGTTAAAAGTATCTTATAAATAGTATAATGTTTGTTGGAGAATAATTTCCGTAGCCATAAATCCCATCGCATGGGTGGCTAAGAGACAAAGCGGCACAAGTCTCGAATGCGAAATGATGATTTAATAGAGGGAAGCATCGGGGGCCCGTGTGTTTGCCCTTCCTTTTCCATCTCTTATCTTGTTCTGCTTTTGCCTTTTAACTTATTCTCCCGTTTTCTTCTCTCTTCCTGCCTTTTTCCCCACTCAAGGATTTTGTGATGAGCACTCAAGATTCTCTTGCAAAGGCCAAACTTTTTCATAACAAGCATCGTATTAATTAGTCTCAATCGTTTAAATGAAAGTTACTCGTGCTAAACAGGAGGAATTTATTTATTATCACTTTTCATTCACGATATTGTTTCCTCCCCAACTTTGCTTAAATGATACACCTACTAATCCTCTTATAATTAATGATTAAATGCATTCTTTCTATGTTTCTCGCTCCTTCAAATATTCATTAATAAACTTAAAGTTAAATTTTTTTTATCAAAATATAAATATTAAACAAAAAAATAATTATTATTATATTTTTAATTTTGGGACAATTATACAATAAAGTCACAAAAAAATTACTATCAATAAGTTTTAATGACAAGACAGCAATTGTTATGTTCTATATTAAAAGTTGTTATTACATGCTACTCTATTTGTCAGTAGGACTTTATAATAATTATGTTTTTAATTTGGGGTTTTTTAAAAATTGTCCCTTTAACTTTTTCTCTGCACGTACGTCCCCGCTTCATTCAGCCCGATTTTCTCAAGTCGCTATCTTCTTTTATTACTTTTTCTCCAACCCAGTGGCCATTATCATTTAGTAAGGGAGAATGCCATCTGCTATGAAAGAAAGGAAAAGCTAGGGCCCATGCATACGTTGGAAATTTTTAGAAAATAATGAGGGAGCTATGTGTGTTGTCATCATTATCATCAAGTTGCTAAATCATGCGAAAATGGAGGTGTAAATTATGAAAGAGAACTTATGGGAAAAAAGTATTGTTCTTGTATTAATAATATTTCTTAAAATATTAATACCTTCTGGGCCAAATCGGGTAAAATTGGTCAAATGAGTTAGTTAAAATGGTATTTTAGTCTTTTACATATAGGTAATATATTGATCCCTAGAGACTTAGTCAATTTTAGTTTTTTCGAAGGACAAAAATGCCCTTTTATCGTTATGAAGCATATGTAGTATTGATGGTTGTTCAGACTTAAAAGAGGGAAAAAGAGAAGGATGTATAAAATGACGGCAAGAGTGAGAGGAGAGGAGAGAAGGGAATAGCAGAAATGGAGAGAAGGGGAAGAGAATCTCTCATATTTGTGAGCTTATTATGCCTAATGGTAACCCTAACAGAGTCTGCGACTGTGACCATACCAGTAGGAGTGATTCTGGATTTGAACTCATCACTTGGTAGTATCACCCTCAACTGCACCAACCTCGGACTCCTCGACTTCTATTCCACACATGATTCCTACGCGACCAGGCTCCAACTCCATTTCTGGCATTCTGGAAACGATCTCCTCACTGCAGCTATTGCAGGTAATTAATTAATCTCCCATAAAAACCTGTCCTCAATTATTACTGATGTTTGCAAAACTATAATGATCTTGTCGAAGTGTTACGAGTTCCACCTCTGTTCTTCTACCCTGCTTCTCTTTCTTCATGACATCTTATGGAAATAGAATTCCTGACCCCCTCCCCCCTCAGCTTTGCTTTAGCATTTCTTGTGATTCTTTTTTTTTTTTAAAACAAAAAAGAGGTCATTCAATATCCAGAAACATTTTATAAAATTAGAGAAGTGAGTGTATACTTTTTTCATATCTGCAGTCTCCTAAAATTTTAGGCTGTACGTAAATATCCTTCATCATTTTTAAAATTTTACAAACTTTTGCGTTGAAGAAGATAATCCCCCGCCGTTTCTTTAAAATAATATAATTTTATTATAAGGTTGAAAAAATAATTTTTTGTTATTTATTATTTATTATTTATATCAGCCTAAAATTTTAGAGGGATTCTTTATCAATTTTTACTCTTATTACTCAGGGCAACTGTACGTTGAGTAGTCTTCTAGTCTCTTGGCATCTTTTCTTCACACTGGTCTGGCTTTTGCATAAACTTTACAAAGTATTTGCAAATTATACTAAAATTAAAAGTTCATTTTCTAATGTTTAAGACTAAAATACTACCTCCGGTCCTTAATATAATAGTTAATTGACTAATTTGAGTAGATTAAGAAAATCAGTTAAGTTATTATTTGTAATAAATAGATGTTATTTTTCTTAAAATATTTTTACTAATCAAGTATATATTGGCTAGAATTGTTATTATTACAAGGATTATATTGAAAAAAATGGATAAATATAAAAAACAAAGTGATATATTAAGTAGTACCGCCCTCCCCTGATTGTACAAGAATATATATATACACACACAGATCATGTAGAAGAGCGATTCTGCAGCGGGGAACTCATTCAATTCCCTTAGAATGGTCCCTCGCCCAAATTCTAGCTAACTCAATGCCATCACTTTTTCCTCCTTATGTGTATAGTCCTTAATATAACAGCTAGTTGACTAATTTAAATAAATTAAGAAAATTAGTCAAGTTATTTATTTGTAATAAATAGATATTATCTTTTTTAAAATATTCTTGCTAATCAAGTATATTGGTTAGAATTACTATTATTATAAGAACTATATTAAAAAAATAGATAAATATGAGAAATAAAATGATGTATTAAGTAGTACCACCCTCCCTTGATTATACAAGAAAAAATATATATACAAATACAGATAATGTAGAAGAGCTATTTTGCAGCGGGGAACTCAAACTCAATTCCCTTAGAATGGTCCCTGGCCCAAATCCTAGCTAACTCAATAACATCACTTTTTCCCTCCCTCTGTGTTGTGCGCGCACTTGTGTCTATATATCATTTTAATTTTTTTAACTTGGTAGTGTTGGCATTAAGCAGCTTGGAATCTGATAAATGGAAAAAAGGTGCATGCAATCCTGGGACCTCAAAACTCAGAGCAAGCGAGGTATGTTGTAGAACTTGGTAAGACGAACGATGTACCAGTGATTTGGTTTTCTCCATCTGGTCCATCTCTGTTGCCACCTCGTACCCGATTCTTCATCCACTCCAACTCCACCAGAAGCCATTGCTCTCAGTTCGAAGCTATAGCAGCCATTATCGAAGCTTATGATTGGCAGTCTGTGATCCCCATTTATGAAGATCCAGAATTCGGCAACGACCTCATTCCGTGCCTCTCTTATGCCCTGCAAGACATGGACACTCGAATGCCTTACATAAGTGTCATCAATCAAACTTCCACGGATTCTCAAATCGCCGGTGAGCTTAACAAGATAAAAGCCCAGCGAACATTTGTGTTTGTCGTTCATATGTCTCTGGAGCTTTGGTCAATATTTGCGGAACATGCCAAAAATGCGGACATGATGAGCGAAGGATACGCTTGGATACTTACGCAAGGCCTGTCTTCTGTGATGGATCCCGAAGCTTTAGATGTCAGAATGAAAGGCTATATGGATGGTGCGTTGGGTGTGAGGCCATTCGTGTTATCCAACTTAACTAAGCGCCTTTCCTTAGTTAGAAAATTAAAGTCTGAGTACGATAAAACTCTTTCTCTAAATGGCTTGTGGGCTTATGACACTATCACAGCATTGGCCAGAGCCGTAGAGAAGGCCGGCTTAGTCAGTTTTAATGAAAGTGGAGCTGATCTTCGCAACGAAACAGGCCCAGAACTTCGCGGAGCAATTCTGGATACTGATTTCGTTGGCTTGTCAGGGAATTTCAATTTGAGGCAAGAACAACTAGAACAATCACATGTTGTGGTATACAATGTGCAAGGCCAAAAAGAAAGGACAATTGGAAATTGGAGCCCCGAAAAAGGACTTGTTCGAATGCAAAGTGTACGTGGTGAACCAATATGGCCGGGTAACACAAAGGAGATACCACCCAAGTTGAAAGTTGGGGTCCCAAAGACGCATTTTACTGAATTTGTTGATGTTAATGGGAGTGTAGAAGGGCAACATGTATCAGTTGCTGGCTTTGCTGTTGATGTATTTGAGCAAGTGGTTGGCCTCTTGCCATTACCTTTACGTTATGAGTTTGTGCCTTTGAACAACAGTGGTGGAGAGCTGACTCCCTTCAGCTATGATGATCTTCTCTGCCAATTCGCAGACAAGGCAAGTTTTCATTCATTTCTGTTGCTTTAACTTGATCGGCTTTTCTATTTCTCAGTTTCTAGTAAAGGGAAGTCAGGCATGTATTTGTATATTATCATTGATGATTTAATTCCCCCTGAAGCTTGGATACACTCAAGAAATAAAAATCATATGGGGGGCAAACAAAAGTTGGAAAATTTCCCCCTGAAATTAGTCTGATCACATATACCATAATTCATGTATATTACAAGTGATTGAGAGATATTAATTGTCTTGATCTTTCCACTTGATAACTGATTTCATCAGTGAGCATGCAGGCCACAAACACACACAAGTTTTATATATATATATATATATATATATATATATAGGGATTCATTTCCAACACTTAATCCTTGTATGAAAATATTGCAGAAAGTTGATGTTGATGTTATAATTGGAGACATTACAATTGTAGTGAGTCGCACAAATTGTGTTGATTTCACAATGCCGTATTTAGATTCAAGTGTGTCCATGGTGGTAAAGGTGAGGTCTGACTCCAAAAGCATGTGGATCCTCTTCAGACCTTTTGATTGGTTACTTTGGTTCATTCTTGTTATGATTCTTGTGGCTGCAACTGTTTTTGTAATTATATTGGAAAAACAAAAAGAAAAGAAAACGGAGGATGATGTCACGGGAAGCAAATCCGAAATTAAAACAAAGGATGATGTTAGAGGAAGCAAATCTGCAAATAAAACAGAGGAAAATGTCGAAGGAAGCAAATCCAAAGAAAACACAGAGGATGATGTCACAGAAAGCAAAGCTGAAAATAAAACAGAGGATGATGTCAGAGGAAGCAAATCCGAAAATAAAACAGAGGATGATGCTGGAGGAAGCAAATCCCAAGACTTTGTCCGCAATCCCTTCCTTATTTACATGAGTGGTAAGTTCTCTTTTGTCGTGCACTATTGATTATGTATATATATATACACTACTCTCTTTCTTTGTATTTATAGGTCACTTTGTAAAAGTTCTTTATGTTTCTATTTACAAACGATTTGGTAAAATCTATGAAGTAATTGATGGTTTTCTTAATACTGCTCTTAATTGTATCAACTTGTTGCTCTTACTGATCTATTTGACACTGTGTATTATAAATGTTCTGTGTGTGGTGATTGCAGATGTTGGGTTTTTGAAAAGTGGCACATCTAAATGGCTGGTGATAGTGATCATGTTTATATTGACCATAGCGCTGCAAGTTTATACAGCAAATTTGACATCAATTTTAACAGATAGGACAAACCCAAAGCCACCTCCATGGAAGGACGTGCAAGAGATTAGAAGGAGCAATCGGAAAGTGGGATATCAAACGGATTCCTGGATGAGAGTGTTTCTTACTCACCAATTAGGATTGAAGGATGATCAGTTAAGGAATTTTACAAGTCGTGAAGAGTACATGGATGCTTTATCAAATGAAGACAAAGAAAATGGAGGAGTGGATGCTATTTTTGATGAAACTCCTTATCTCAGGCTCTTCCTTTCCCAATGCCCTTCTTGCCAAATGGCAGGACCAATCTACAAAGCTGGTGGATTTGCCTTTGTGAGTACTCTTCTTCTCATCCCAATATATATATTATAGGAATAAGATACAAATTTGTCTAAAAAATATTCGTTCAGAAGTAATCTTGTCCAAAATTTTTTCTTAAAGTTGAATGTTTCCCTGAATGTTTTAATAAAATATAACAACATTGTTTCATACCGTTAAAAACTGACATTGATAACCGTTAACATTTTTAATAGTAAATAGTGATGTTGCTCTATTTTAACACTTCCAAGCCAATCTTAAACCTAAAAGAACTTTCGGGACAATACTATTTCTGAGTAAAAACTTTTAGAAGAAATTTACATCATAACCCTACATTATATTTCATATGATTCATAAAAACTCTGATGATGTTCATACCATGCTGTATTTTTCAGGCATTCCCAAAGAACTCTACCTTGGTCTCAAATTTTTCAACTGCAATATTGGAAGTGACTCAAAATGTGACGATGTTTCGTCAGATGAGGGAGAAAATATCTTTCCCCATCACAGTTGACAGATCCGAATATAAAAGTAGCATTGAGACGCGAAGTTTGAAGATAGGCGACTTTGGAGGCCTTTTCCCAATCATATTGTTTGTTTTGGTTCTCTTCTTCTGCCTTTCAATTCGTAACAAATTGGTTTCATGTTGGCACAATCTCTGGCGGAGAGAGTAATATTAATTAGTACCTAACTAATTAAACATCTGTAAAATCAGTATGTTTTATATTTGTGTGTGTAGCTTATATTATTGTGAATAGTCCAAGTGATAAGAATAAGGTGATGAGAGACTTCAAACCTTCTGATTGTGGCTTGGTGTTATTTAGTAATGAATAATTCTTCAAGTTGTCTCTTATCTTCAGTTGGCTTATTATCTGGTCATCTTAATATCCATCATGTGGGTGTGTGTGTGTTAAAACTTAAGAGAAATATTGTTTTATGTATTATTGCAGTTAATATTTGTGTCAAATGATTAGTTAGTGGGAATATAATCTTTGTAATTCAGTATATGCATCTATCAATTTACATGTTGTTTGTTCTTACATGCTTGGAGATCTTGTGGAAGTTTCCTATAATATTACCTCACCACGATATAATATATATATGTGTGTGTGTATTATAGCCTTTTAGTTATAAAGCTGAAGGAGGAAGTTTCGAAGAGAGGTCTATAATGTAGTGTCATTGTATTATTACATCGGAATTAATTTGGCGTGAAATACCTATAAGTTTAAGAATAGTTAAAATCAAGATGGGGAAAAAAAAAATTCTCTTCAGTGCTAAAATAATGTATAAAATTTTAGGAGTAAGTAATATTACGTTTATTCCTTAATATAAGACTCAGTTCACTAATTTAAAAAGATTAATAAAATTATTAAATTACTTAATTATAGCATATATTACATGATTTTTCTAAAATACTTATATAAACTATTAGATTGTATATCAATTTATAAGTGAGGCAAATTAATTTAACAAAACATAAAATAAATAGTTTAAAATAATGTTGTAACTTCCTTAATTTTTTAAATTAGTCAATTATGTCTTATATTAAGGAGTCAACATAGTAGTTTTTTGTTTTTTTTTGTAAAATACCCCTAATTATTGAATGAAAAGACTTGGCCCATACTAGAGTTTGAAAAATAATAAACATTAATTGAAAGCAGAAGAGGAAAGAAAGGGAAAACAACATAAATTAGTTAAAATTTTCTGTGGCCTACAAAAGATATTACTATCTTTAGTCTTAATTATAAGACTTTATTAGTATACTATAAATGAGATCTTATAAATAAGATCAGAGGTTGTATTATCATCCTTCTCGGCTCCTTCCGTTCATCATTAGTCCTCACTCCCACCCTCTTTGGGTTCAAAGGACGTGGGCTCCTCATTGGTTTGGCCCAGCCAAAAAGGCCCAGGAACTCCAGATTTCAGCCACACAGTCTTGGGTAAAATGAAATTGAGTTATGAAATCATCAACTCCTTGTTAACTAATAGAGATGGTACCCAATGAAATTAACTAGTCCTTCACAACTTTTACGAATCAAGATTGCAATTCTCACTGAGAAAGGTATTTATATTAGTAAAAAAAAATACATGTGACCAACAAAAAAAAGTCATTATTACAAATAGTATTTAATTAGATGTTTTGACAGAAAAAAAGAGCTTTTATTTTATTGTTTTTTATTATTATAGTTTTATATTAAACCGGAAAACCTATCATGCGTGATATATTAGTCATTTTAAAAAACAAATTGGTAGTCCTATACATTAATCATTTTACATAAGAGATTAAATTATTAATTAATTTTTTTTCAATATTGCTCTATTTACAATTTCCTAGGATTTGACTTGTTTTTATTAAATTCATGTTTTAAATAGGGGGTTGACAAGAAAAAAACTTTTAGTATTTTTTAGCATAATAATAATTTAATTACGTTTTTAGTTCTTATGATTGTAATGAGGTAATTAGAGATGCCTATATTTAAAATTGAAGGGAATTCATGTGTGCGCGCGCCTACAATGATTAATTTAGTGTCTTTCGGCTCTCTTATGTAAGGGTTAAGTTCTTCAGCCCCCCCAAAAAAAAAAATTAAGATCTAATTTTGTCCCGGAAATTTCTACATAAGGTGCAAATGAATATTTGGAAGTTTTTTTTTTTTCCATTCAATGTCACCATGCCATAATATTTAGTCTATCTTAAAACATTAGTTCCTAAAAGCGTAACAATGTTAAAATCTACTAAAATCTCATCAATAACATCAAAAGTGGTGATATAGACTCACATATGACACCTAACTAGATTTTATGTGGATAACAAATACAACATAGTGAATAGTTCCTGAAAATGAATATTGAATAGTGAGAGAAAAAAAAAAAGGAGGCTAAAAGATGCATTTTGAGGGCCTATTCTTTTTCTTCCTTCCATTATTCATACAAGATCCAGTGAACTAGGTGTCATTTGGTGAGTCTGCATCACCATTTTAATGTTATTTATGACACTTTAGTAGATTTTAACATTATCACACTTCTTGAGATTAACGTTTTAAAACAAACTAAATTTCAAGGGCTAAAACCATATGTTTAAAATTTGAGAGATTAAAATTAAAATAGATCCAAATTTCAGAGATTAAAAATTATGCTGACCCTTATTAAATAATATAATATTGATTTCTAATTTTTCAGAATGCTACAGTATTATCCCTATCACTTAAAAAGGCAACACTTGCCAGCTTTTTGCAACTCATCGTATTGATTGTACTCCATTTTGACGCGCACGTATCAATTCAACAGGCACAGGTTTTAGTGGGAAGGTTTTAACCACTTAAATATAAGGTCGCAAGTCCATGTAAATGTAGAAAAACACCTTTAGGGGAACTATTTCCAATCCGACTTGACAATGCTGAAATACGACTCAATCAAATTATCATACCAAATATATATATATAATTAAGGAGATGATTAACATGACAGCATATTGTTATTTATAAGAGGTATTTTTTTTAGTTATTTAAAAAGATAAGCATTAACTGCTTGAAATTACAAGTTACACCAACCATGTTAAGTCCATTGACGTGTTTTTTTATTGATGGTTAATACATGTTCCTGGTTGGTCATTAAATAAAAAAGACAAATTATTATACAGAATAGTAGATAAGATAGCAAGGAGCTTTATACACACTTGTTGTATCACTCGTCTAATAAATAGCTACTAATTAACTAACTACGTGAAGATGGAACCGTTAGTCGTTTTAGATCCATTTTAAAAATTAATCGAATTAATACAGTACAGTATACAATCCGGGTCGTATTCACTTTAGGGAACCTCTAAAAAGGAATCCTAAGTAACTAAGCATGCAAAAGATAAAAAATTGACTTGGAAAGGGATTGATTTTCTTTTTAACTAACTAAATGGCAAAATTTAAAAAGATGCAAAATGAGTAGATAATTTTTGGATTTTTAGTTTATAAAATGGATATGAATGAAATAAACAAAGAGAATTAAAAAACTGATAACAAATAGAAAAGCAATTTTCTAGCACAATGATTAAGGCTATTATTACTTTAATTAATTTGGAAGTTAGTTAAATTGAAAAGACTTAGACTATAAGGGCCACACCTTAAACTTGGTTTAATCAGAATAATCAATACCAAGCCACCTTAAATATTAATTACTCACAATTAAACTGTTTTAGCACAATTAGCCAAAGAGAATCAAAGAAAAACAATTAACATTTATAGTCCAATAACCAAACCACTTTGAATTACCATTAAATATTTACAATAATTTTAAAACATAGTCTAACTAAGAACAATGTAAAGAAATTAAGATTAATCATAGCATGATATCAAATACTAATCAAAGATTCTAACAACTGCAATCAATCTCAATATAAATATAAATCATCACAACATATTTAAACATTGTAAAATTTATTCTAAAACCTAAAAATTACAATTATCATAAAAGAAATAAAGATTAGAAGAGTTACAACTCTTTTTAAAACTCTAAGTTCAAGCCATAAATATTGTGTTAGACAATTGAAGGATTTAGCTAAGCTTTTGCATCATTGAAGCTCCACCGTATGCTTTAATAATTACAGCCATAGCAGAAAACTCAGCTAAAGGTAGATGAATGCTGAAGGATGGGTTTCGGTTGATGAGAGACACGGAGGAGAGGCGAAGTCGAGATTATGGAGGTTTGACTTCTCCGTTCAATTGTTCCGCTTCTGTTGCAACGCGTTTGGTCCCTGGTTTCCCTTAGTTCAGTCGCACCGAGAATAAGAAGAAGACGAAGTCGATGGTGATGATGATGATGGATGGATTCAGATTGATGGAGACAAGGAATTAGCCGAATGTGAGTGAAGAAAACGGTGATTTTTGTCGAACTCCTCTGGTTCTTGTTCACGCCGTCGACCTGTGCTCTTTGGTTCTCTGGTTCTGTCACGCCCCTGGTCCTTCGTTCTGCCTCTCACGCTGTCGTCTTTCTGCCACCAGGAAGAAGACGCGGAGAAGAAGATTGACGGTCTTGAACGGAGGTGGGAGAGGTGATCTCTCGCTGCTCAACGTTGAGCTCCGCCGGGTCTTCGTTTTCTCTCCCTCTGCCGTCACTGTTCACTGGTCCCTCCCCCTCGCTGGACGCTACTCAACACACTGATGAACAGTAGGTTTTGGGGAGGGAGCAAAACGCTCTTTTTAAAATTATTTTTTATCATATTTTTTCTTTTTTTTTCCCGCCTTTTCTGTTCTTCATTATTTTTTTAATTCTCCAAAAATCTGCAACTAAAATTCAAGAATAAGATAATATTAATTATCTTTAAAGATCAATCAATTATAATTATGATAATTTTGCCCATACTATATACTAATTCAAGTTAAAGCACTCTAATATAAACTATACTCAAATAATGCAATTAAAGACCAATAATAGTGATAAAAACCCACCAAAATATATAAAAAGTACATGTAAAAACATATGTTTGTCACTAGCAACTCCTACTATAGTCAAGCCTTAGCTGACTTGAAATGCCGCTTCTTATTATGCAACCATGCAATCACCAATTGTTTCAAAATAGAAAGCTTCCCACGCAACCATCTAATCACTGGCAATGGATTCAGAGACTGTTTAATCACAAATGGATTTATAATGGAAAGGCCTAAAGAGAGGGCACAAGAGATGATAGGATAGGGTAAAGGCCTCCGAAGTTAGCTATGCTCAAACTTGATGTCTCTATATCACTTTGGTCTTGAAATTCCAAATCTTCAACGTATGTGGTAAGGAGCTATTGGCCATCAGCACCCGATATGACTCCACATCTTGAATCACTTTTAAAATTGCATTCGAGAAATGCGAGACCAAGCTGGATTT